TCAAACATATACAAAAAAATAGAATAGCACAATGAGGCCAAGCTTCAACAATGATAAATTCCTAGCCAGTGTCCAACCTTCACCCACTTTCCCTATCGGGTAACATTATATTTTTCAGTATCTGTCCCTTTACTAGGTAGCTCCTTAAGGATAAAAATTTTGTCTGTATCCTTAACAAATCTTACATAGTGGCTGACATATAGTAGGTGCTCTTTAAATGCTTGTTGCTTGAATGAATGAGTTGTAATTATTTTCTGTTCTAGGAAGATTCTATGCAAATGTTTCTTAAGGTTAGAATGTACTGAATTTCCAGGATGACAAAGCAAATGACTTACAGGAATGGTTTTGAAGTCAGCTTCGTTATTTCCTGATATGATTCTGACTTAGGGACTATGTTCATGTACATGTTTTTGTTTTTCTACTTAGGTGCTGTTGTCAGTGTTCCATATCCAGGGGTGACCACCTCTGAAGGTATCTCAGAAAGCAGCAAGGAGAGGCCTGGGGAGAGTGTGAGTGATGCTCTGTTTTGTTATTTAGTTTCTAACATGGAGAACGGGGTTAAGAGAGACTTATGTTCCACTGCTAAACTGAACAAAACTTCATGTGGTTTCCTTTATGGAAATGTAGATTCTAAAACCAGTATATTAAAAAGAACCTAAGATTCCTTGGAGAGTTGAGTCAATCTGCTTTTGCAAGAGAGAGCTTCAAGTTGTAAATGAAATAACTTGTGCTTGGGGAATTATCATGGTAAACTCATTGTCACTTGTGGGCTTTGTGACATAATTTACTGTCATTTTCCTATGTTCTTCTATTGCCCTGTCTTCTTCAGAGGAAAAGGATGTAGGTTTTATGCAGTTGAAAAATCAAGAAATACCGTGTTTTTTAAATGCATCATTGTTAACAGTAACCTGTCCATGAAACAATATTAAGTTTACTTTCTGTAACATTCAGTTTTAAAAAGAAAGTACACAGGCTGCCTAGGAAGATAGAAATATTTTGTTAGAAATTTTTTTAAATATGAATTTTTAAACTTTTGGGTTTCATAAATCTTATATTACTTAATACAGTGCGAATTCTGATTGAACATATTCACTAGAAAGATGCAATTTAGTTACCTTGCACATTTTCTTCCAATTTCAACATTTTAACTTCTGTGAAATCATGTTACATCAGCCTCCTCTGCCTCCCCACCTTCCCTCTCACTGAACAAAGCTGGTAGTAATATTGGACCCCTGAGTTGATTCCTGAGTCAATACATTTACCCTCTGTACAACTTCGTCCAGACTAGATGGTGCTGGGAAATATTGTCATTCAATAAATATTTGTGAATGAATGAATAAAAAGTGATACCATGGATTTGAACTTGAAGCACAATAGTTATAGTTTAGGTATGGGAACATTTATGGAATGAGATAGAATTCCCTATAATAAACATGAAGGAATTGTACATAATTGAATTGTATATAATTGGAACATTAATATCTAAAAGAGAGGATAATTTCAAGCCAATTTATAGGATCAGTAAGAAAACAAAGCAGTATAAAGATACCTAACAAGAATTAGATCCCTGTACCTCTAGTTCAAAATGAAGCCCGAAGTTATTTTTACAGTTCATTTTTTCCTTATTTTCCTAATTTTCCATCTACTGTTTTAGAAACTGTATACCTCATTTCTGTTTTGCTAGTAGTTACCCTATATGTTACTTAATATGTAATATATTATTACATATAATATTTGTAATACATTCTATATATATATATATATACATATATAT